TACCGAAGTTTATCTTTGGTAACGTGATCTTTATGGCAACGCCACTGAGCTCTGGGCACTTGCGATCATTCAAACAGCCCGAAGTACCCCACACTTGCCTGCAATGCCAGCCTTCACGTAACAAGCATGTGTCTGTTTGAACAGATAAGCCTTCCTTCGTTGATGTACATGGCAGGAAAACACGATGGTGAAGGAAACTCTTTTGTTCTCCTAAAATGTTGGGAAAACAGACTGGCTTGGAGCCTGGACCACAGCACTTGGGAGGGCTCTTTCTGGAGAACCACAGCAGAAAGGAATGCTCCTTGCTGGGGAATTCTTCTGGCCATCTGCACTGTCATTCCTGCAGCGTTTCAATTATTCCCTCCAGCCAGCTAACCGTCCCCGATCCATGCACGCACACACACACACACACACACACACACACACACACACACACCGTCCCCAGTCTTCTTACGCTCACCCTGGGCTGGAATCGGGGCCACACAGGGGATGTTGAGCTTGGGCACTGGGGACCATATTGTCAGCTACTCTGGACTTCCGTAGAACACGCAAGGAGTTAACCGGGGCGATTCTGGCTTCACTTGGCCCTGGACTTTTTTTGTATAATAGAGACTTGGACACGGGAAAATACATTCAGAATGTGAGCCAAGAATTAAGTTCAAGGGGAGGTAGTTCAAGAGGGAAAACCAGTGGAAAGGCCTGGGACCTTCAGGCACATTCTGCCTGTGGCCTGCTGAATTACAGATGTGCTGTTTGGGCCAGGATTTTGTTTGTTTGTTTGTTTGTTTTTTTGGGGTTTTTTTTTTATAAGCTAGATCTCTTGGTGGTAAGGGGCAAAATCTGCTTCACTTCCTGCACTAGAATCTTATCCGCAGCGCTCTGCAGATCCGTTCCCTTCCCCTTCCTACCCCACCCCCACCAATGGCAGCGGAGTCCCCAGTCTCTGGAAAGTAATGCTAAGAAAACAAACTACAAAGGCTGCTAACAGGAGGATATCTCTCTCGAATGTTTTTTTTTGGTGACCATCTAGGTTCAAGGAGGAGGAGTCCCCCAGCTACGTGAGCCAGCAGGGTCTCTTTGTAGTAGGCATTCCTGTGTCCTCCCAGCGGAGGGCAGAGAGGGAAAGATAAAACAGAATTCTTTATTAAGAATACATCTGGGAGGGGGGAGAAAAAACAAGACAGAAAAAGTGTGTCAAGTGGGAAGGGAGGTCAGATGGTGCCATCTGATAATGATTAAATGCTGATACAGTCAGTGGTGAGCAATGCACATTGTGAGGAAGTGACTGTTCTTCAGAATGTGAACCAGTGACAGCAGTCTGCGAGTGGATGTGCACAAATGCCACGTGCACAAGATGTCCAGTGGCAAACACACAGTTAGCGCACACGGCCAGGAGAGAGGAAGACAGCCCTGCACTGGGAGTAGCTTCTGATTCTGCTTTACCTCTCCGGCCTCACTTTCCCCATCCGTAACACAATGTCGCTTAACCAGATGCCCTCAGCAAACTCATCGGTCAACAGAGCCAAATTATCAACAGTACAACGATTGAAATTTCTTTTGAGAGCCAAATTTTTTAAACTTAAACATTGTTATTAACTTAATTAGGGTACTCCTAAGCCAGCCTTTGCTAAAAACTCAAGGGGCTGCCAAAACCGGTTTGGCTCAGTGGACTGAAAGGTCCCGGGTTCGATTCCGGTCAAGGGCATGTACCTGGGTTGCGGGCACATCCCCAGTGGGGGGGGTGTAGGAGGCAGCTGATTGATGATTCTCTATCATCGATGTTTCTAACTCTCTATCCTCTCCTTTTCTCTCTGTAAAAAATCAATTAAAAAAAAATATATATATATATGACACTCAATGGGCCAAAAAGCTGCATGTGGCTCATGAGCTGCAGTTTGCCGACCACTGCTCTAAGCAACCTTCTAGTCCCAGACCTTATTCTCTACCATAATCTCTGCTCTGATTAGATCTTCTGAGGTTCATCTAACAGAACATAATAGCCCTGGAGAGGTGTAAAGAACCCACCATGGTCCTAAAATCCAAAAGGAATGAAACACCCCGGTCAACCATAAATTCACACCCAGCCCTTCACCCTCCTGTGGCATCTCTCTGTCTGTTGTCCTCCTGGGTTTTACAGTTCTACCAAAGCAAGTTTATTGTTTCTGAACATGAAACGTGGTATGTTGATGGGTCTACCTGTACTTCTCTCTCTCCCAATTCCAAAAATATATTCACTCTAACTGGAGGCGAGGAGTCTTTGTTTCATTTTAAACTGTCAGGTTATGAAGAGCCCAAGAGCTGATGATTGTGTGTGTGTGTGTTCATCCTTTAGTGCAGGGTACACTGTGGAAAGTTTTCGTTGTTTTCTTTTCAGCATTGTCATGAGGAGAGCAGGATTTCAGAACAGGCGAGGCTGGATTCCAGCAGGAGTGAAAGGGGAAGCTTGTGCTGAGATGGAAGAATCTCACTCTTGGATGGTGGCAGGGGAAACGGAGAGGAAAGACGGACCAGAGAGAGGCACCACAGCGTAGTGAAGTCATGACTTTTGGAGTCAGACCCGGGTTTGAATCCTGGCTGTGGTGTCTATGGGATGTCATGTCAGCCCTCACTACGTTTCCTCCTTGAAGGGTTATTACTAGTGTGTGGATTAAAGTCACTGTGGCAAGTGCCTGGTACAATGTAAGCAGTGAGTGACCATCAGTAAGCTGTGGATGAGATGATCATGATTTAAAAATAAAAATAAAAATAAAAATTCCACAGCAAGATTAGCAGGGCCTGCTGACTGGCTGAGTTGGAGATTAAGGAAAAGAGAAGACTTCAGGGTGTCTTTGAGTGTAAGCACCTGGAGGGATAAGAGAGTAGTCGTTTTTAGATTGGATGGAAATGAAGTTAGGTGAATGTTTGCGATATGGTTTGGCAGGGCTAGGACCAAGGTTGGTTTTGGACATGAGAGGTGGTGCTGAGGCCTCCAGGTGGCAATTAAAAGAGGATGGAAAGGAAAAGATGTCAAAGAAATGGGGAAACTGTAATGCATAGAAGCTGATTTACTCTAAATTTGCTCGAACAATGAGTCTGATTTTACAGCTTCACCTTCAAGGAATTGGCTAACCAAAGGTTGATCCAGCCTGGTCATCTTCTAAATTAGATCTTTGCTCCTCAAAGTGTGTTCCTCTAACCAGGCATCACCTGGATCTTAGGTAGAATCTTACCTCCTATCTCAGACCTGCTGAATCAGGCCTGCATTGGAACAACGGGATTTGTAAGCCCTTACGGTTCAGTAGAGAAGCACAGTTCTAAAGTATGGTCCTCAGACCAGAAGGACCAGCATCCTCTGGGAACGTGTTAGAAGTCCAGATTCTCGGATGCCTTCTCAGACTCCTGCATTAGAAATGCTGTGCTTTAGCGAACTCCTCACGTGAGTCTGATGCACCCGAGTTTGAGAGTCACTGCACTGAGTCAGGGGACAGATTGAGCCCCCTCCTGTTGGGTCTCTGGCCCAGAACAACACAGGGATTGGTTAAATTTGAATCATTGCTCTATGTTGTTAAATTCTAAGTTAAATTCAAATCATTGCTCTATGCTGCTTCTCTCATCATTTTGTATTAAACACAGCTGAAGAACTCTTTTCGCTGAAGCAGGGCACTGTGGGTAAAATTATAAACCCAAGGAGAGACACTTCGGCTGTGGCTTAATCCTCACGACCAATCTATCAAAAGTTGCTGAGCGCTGTTATGGAACTTCACGTGCTGCTGCCCCAGGGGGACGCTGTTAGGAGACGCACAGGAAAACAGGCCGGGGAAAGCAGGGGTCTGCCGGTGCTCCTCACAATGTGATTTTCACATTAAAATGTCCACAGTCTCTGTCTTCTGTGTTTCCAATCAACCCGAGGGGAAAGGTCCCTGTTTTGGGTTTCTGGAGTCACTTGCAGAAGTGATGGTGGTTTCTCATTTAGATTAGACTATTTTTCAAAAAGTTGAACTGTGAGCAGTCAAAATTTACCTCTTCTCACCAAAAAGATCTGTTTCTAGTTATTTCATAATTCATATTTAAATAGCTGTGATAATTTACATAAGGGTCTGTTTACTGTATAAGTGTAATACATAAAAATGGTTATATATATGGATCATTTTAATCTTAAAGTTGCCTATGTTTTCTGCTATAGGCTATAGTACCCTTAGAGCTAGTGGCTTGATAGTACACCAGTTCAAGAGCAGGGGAGGGATCATAATTTGTAGTGCTTACCAATTTCCATGGTGTAAATACTACCTCCAAAACTGATTTCAAGCTAACAAGAGTTTAACAATCAGCTCCTCAAATTCCTAAAAATTTAGCAAGAGCAAACCAGTAGCAACTAGTTGTAACATACCACTGAAACAAACATCTTCAAAAAGCAAGTCACTTTTTTTTGGGGGGGGGGAGGGTAGGGTGTTAGTCATGTTTGAATTGCTATAGATATTTGGGTATTTTGAATCTTTTGTCATGTAGAGATTTATATTGAAATTATAATTATCAGTGGAATTTGGTTCAAAACTATTCTATGAGACAAAGTTATGTGTTATTTTCAAGTCATATTAAATACAGTTATGCCCTAACCGGTTTGGCTCAGTGGATAGAGTGTCGGCCTGTGGACTGAAGGGTCCCAGGTTCAATTCCGATCCAGGGCATGTACCTTGGTTTCGGACACATCCCCATTAGGGGTTGTACAGGAGGCAGCTGATCGATTTCTCTCTCATTGATGTTTCTAACTTTCCCTCTCCCTTCCTCTCTGCAAAAAAATCAATAAAATATATTTAAAAAATAAAATACAGTTATAACAGCATGGTAATATTTAAAGTGCTTATAGTGCTAAAGAGGTACGTTTAATTTTAAGATACCACTCATCCCGTAGTAAGGCATATGTAAAAAATTATTTTAATCATAATATTTAAACCAGAATGCAAAAAGATACTTTTCTAAGTTAATTTTTTGGTCATTATTATAAAATTTGACTTCTCTTACAGGTATTCAGGAAGGAACACAATGTACCAAATGTAAAAACAACTGGGCACTGAAGTTTTCTATCATATTATTATACATTTTGTGTGCCTTGCTAACAATCACAGTGGCCATTCTGGGATACAAAGGTAAGTAATCTTTCCTTTTTCTTCCAGATAGTAACTGTTCCTTCGTTAACATGATAAAAACCCATGTGTACCAGTTTGAAGTGTTTCATGAATACAACTCAGATGCAAAACTAAGCAACACCCTAAGTTCCGCCTTTGTGTCTTCAGCTTCTTGTAGCTGTGAGATCTGGAAAGAGAGAGTAATAATTCCTTTTGACTCATTTTAGCAATAATAATGATGTCCCTCTCTGAATCATAAAGATTTTTCCTCCCTGCTGTTTTTTCCTACCTATTTCCAGCTACTCCCTCTTCCTCTATCAGCTTCACTTATCTCTGAATCCTGTGGAAACTCCGGAGTCAGCACACAGGAAAACTATATTGAAGAGGAGAAGCCAAACACTCAGATCTCCAGAGATATGACTTATTTCACCCAGGGACTGGCCAACTAATTCCCCTTTTCTCTCCTCAGCACATTTACTGTGGTCACTGTTGTTTAGATAGCGCCATAAAAATATTGCCCTGTAGAAATCAAACACTGAGACAGCACTACCCCTCAATTATACTGTACGGTATAAATTAGGCAGTCTGTCAATGTGCCCAATTTCAGGTCACTGGAGGCTTTTTGCCTGGATCCTCCAGACTCGCAGACAAAGTGGGTTTCCCCTTCCCAAACCCCGTACCCAGTCCAGACACCACAGGTAGAAGGTGTCATGATACAGAACCACGGCGTGCATCAACGCTTTTATAGAAAACAGCCAGGGAAGCCGTCCCGACAAAGACACATGAGACAGAGATGGGGTCTGCTGATCTTCAGAACCTTCATCTCAGCCTTCCCTCGGGAGTGACAGGTTAGCAGTGGAGAACCTCTCATTTCCTTGGCCTGTAGACTTGGCCTAGGAAGAGAAAGAGTCAACGTAAACTCCCCCCAGTTCGTACTCCTCCCACCTCTCTCCCAGTGTTTAGTGGTTTCCAGAGAAAACAGTGTATTGGAATGAGAATGGGTTTTGGTCCTAGATCAGTTATTGATTTTTTCCCCCCATTCGTAATACAATTGTGAGTGTGTATGAAGTGCTGACTGTCGTGCCAAGCATCATGCTAAGTCCTCTGCATGGCTGTGTAACCTGGGTATGCATCATAACCTCTTAGAGTTTCCGATTTCCTACATGTAAGCCAGCAATTATAATGCCACCTTTTAAGATGATTGGGATGAGCAAAGGTGATGTAATTAAACCACCTGTCCTATAGTCAGTCCCAGTAGATAAGGGGCTGTATTTCCGTATTCCTTCTTTCTTTATAACTGCATTTATACAATATGTTAAAAAATACTTAGTGCAGTCAAAAGTCGTGCCCCCCCACCCCCAGGGACATATTCATGGAAAAGGTAGGTGCTTCCTGTAGTATGTTGACTGATGAATTTTAGCAATGGCAATTTGGAAAATCACCAGGTCACTGTATCCATTTGTGAGGAGTTACTCTACCCTGGGATTATCAGAGTGATTAAGTGCGAGGGCCGGATAAGGTGAAGGAGGGAACCGAGTGGGGGGACAGGAGGGCTTTTATGCCCTAAGTAATCCAGACTGTCCTCCTTCCTAGGTTATTTCGCTCATTACTCACTTCTCCATGGCTTTTGCCAGCAAACCCAGATAAAGGAGGAACTTGGAATCAAATAACCGTTTAATGAATATCTTGAGGGCTCAGTACTGTGTGATATGAAAGTAAACATTTTCTACTTGAAAGGGAGATGAGAAAGGTTTGAAGAGCTTATCGCCATATGATATTTTATAATTTTTACTTCTGCAAGGAAATACAGTCTAGGATCATTATACCTTCAGAATTATATAGGAAGAGTCAAAGGAGAGGGTTTTTTTCCCTTTTATTTTTAAATTTCTTTATTGATTAAGGTATTACATATGTGTCCTTAATCCCCCATTGCCCCCCACCCTTTTCTTTCCTTTTTACTTTTTTAAAATATTTTTTATTGACTTTCCACAGAGAGGAAGAGAGAGTGATAGAGAGCTAGAAACATCGATGAGAGAGAGAGAATCATCGATCAGCTGCCTCTTGCATACCCCTCACCAGGGATGTGCCCGCAACCAAGGCACATGCCCCCGACCGGAATCGAACCTGGGACCCTTCAGTCCCCAGGCCAACGCTCCATCCATTGAGCCAAACTGGCCCTGGCCTTTTCTTTCCTTTTTAAAGCACAAATATTTTCTGCATTATAACATTGGAAAGCCCTTGTCAGCTCTGGTTTGCTTTGTGTGTTGGTCCATTTGCCTGGAAACCCTTTTCCCTGCTCTCCACCTAAATGTCTCCTCCTTTCCCTTCGCGTCTCACACATCCTGCAAGAAGCCCCTGAGGGCTGTGTTAGGTCCCCTGTTTCTTCCTATGGCACCTTTTATTTACTTGAGCCCCTGCCACACTGTGTCATCATGGCCAGTGGGCTTGTCTGTCTGGCCTCCCAAACTGTAAGCTCCATGAAGAAGAGAGATTACCTTTTAGTTAGTGTATCTCCCACCAGCACCTAACCTCATGGTACTTAATAGGAACCCAATACATTTTACTGGATGAATTAGTGAGAGGATGGACGGTGAATGAATTGTGGACTAGAGCTGACTTCTGTTAAGGTAATCAGTCAATGCCCAAGGACCTCTAAGCCAGTCTGCTCTGAGGGAATTGCGATAATTTGAAGGCCTACCTAGAGCCTGAAACGCTGGAGATTGGCTTGGCCTGCCCTGGAGGCTGACCAGCATGAAGGGGGAAGAGACTGAGGGAGCAAGAGAAGAGGAGGCAAAGTGATGACTGTCTGACTGGTCTTTCACCTCCTTCAAGGCCCTTATCCCTCAGGCCTCTACTGACAAAAATAAGATAAAACAACATGCGATTTTGGTTTCCAAACACAGCTGTAATGAACGAGAATGTTGATATTTTCCAGATGTGTTTTCTCTTGTACAGTGAATCCTCTTTCTTGCTGATAAGATGCTGGTGACTCCACATTGTAAGAGGCATAAAGATAAGACTCGGTTTTCCTTTCACACATCTCCCTTTGAAGTCTAGAGAAACTCTATTTTTAAAAAGAGAGAGAAAGAAAGAAAAAATATTCCATGAAAGACAATATTTCTCTGAAGGAGGATTTGAAAAGAAGGAAAATAGAAACCCCTTATTTGTCAGCATTAGCAAAGGCAATCCATGGTTTCCTCAAAATGTTCTTGAAAGTAATTTGCAGATGTGCACGAGGGTTCCTTATTTGCAGATGACATGATATTGTACATAAAAAACCCAAAAGACTCCATTAAAAAACTAATTGACTTAATAAATGAATTTGGCAATGTAGCAGGATACAAAATTAATGCCAAGAAATCCATGGCATTTCTATACACCAACAGTGAAACTACAGAAACAGAGGCTAAAAAAGCAATTCCATTTACCATCGCACCAAAAAAATTAAGATACCTAGGAATAAATTTAACTAAGGAAGTAAAGGACCTATATGCAGAAAACTACACGACACTGAAAAAAGAGATAGAGGAAGATGTAAGGAGATGGAAGAACGTACCATGTTCATGGATTGGTAGAATCAACATCATCAAAATGTCCATACTTCCTAAAGCAATCTATAGGTTCAATGCACTCCCCATAAAAATACCAACGGCATGTTTCACTGACCTAGAAAGAACTCTCCAAAAGTTCATTTGGAACAATAAAAGACCCCGAATAGCCACAGCAATCCTGAGAAAGAAGGGTAAAGTAGGAGGGATCTCAATACCAGACTTCAAACTGTATTACAAAGCCACTGTTCTCAAAATAGCCTGGTACTGGCACAAGAACAGACATATAGATCAATGGAATAGAATTGAGAACCCAGATATCAACCCAAATCAATATGCTCAATTAATATTTGACAAAGGAGGCACGAATATACAATGGAGTCAAGACAGTTTCTTCAATAAATGGTGTTGGGAAAATTGGGCAGACACATGCAAAAGAATGAAACTAGATCACCAACTTACACCATACACAAAAATAAACTCAAAATGGATGCAGGACTTAAACATCAGACGGGAAACCATAAAAATACTAGAAGCATCCACAGGCTGCAAAATCTCAGACGTATGCCAAAAGAACTTCTTCTCTGATACTGCCCCTAGGGCAATGGAAGCTAAAGAGAAAATAAACAAATGGGACTACATCAAAATAAAAAGGTTTTTTACAGCAAAAGAAACCATCAACAAAACAACAAGAAAGCCCATGGTGTGGGAGAACATATTTGCAAATAACACCACTGATAAAGGTTTAATCTCCAACATCTACAGACAGCTGATACAACTAAATAAAAGGAAGGTGAATGATCCAATTAAGAAATGGGCAATGAACCTAAATAGAATATTTTCAAAAGAAGACAGAAGGAAGGCCAAAAGGCACATGAAAACATGCTCAAAGTCACTAATTGTCCGAGAGATGCAAATCAAAACAACAATGCGGTACCATCTCACACCTGTCAGAATGGCCAACATCAACAAATCAACAAACAAGTGTTGGCGAGGTTGCGGAGAAAAAGGAACCCTCGTGCACTGCTGGTGGGAATGCAGACTGGTGCAACCACTGTAAAGAACAGTGTGGAATTTCCTCAAAAAACTGAAAATGGATCTCCCATTTGATCCAGTAATCCCACTCTTAGGAATATATCCCAAGAAACTATTGATAGAAACACCAATCAGAAAGGATTTATGCACCCCTATGTTCATAGCAGCACAATCTACAATAGCCAGAATTTGGAAACAGCCTAGGTGCCCGTCAGCAGATGATTGGATCCAAAAACTATGGTACATCTACACAATGGAATACTATGCTGCCATAAAAAAGAAGGAATTCTCATCATTTGCAGCAACCTGGATGGAATTGGAGAACATCATGCTGAGTGAAATAAGCCAATCAATGAAAGAGAAACACCACATGACCTCACTCATTTGTGGATAATAAAGAACATTATAAACTGATGAACCAAAAGATATTGATAGATACAGAGACAGTAAAGCAACAAGCAGATTGTCAAATTTCAGCGGGCTGGGGAGGAGGATCTGGGGGAGATAATAGATCAACTGAAGGACTTGTATCCATGCATATAAGTACAACCAATGGACATAAAACTCTGGGGAGGGAGGGGATGTGCGGGAGGGAGGGAGAGGGGAAAAATCAATAAAATATGTAAAAAAATAATAATAAATAAATAAATTTTAAAAAAAAGAGGTAGGTGACTTGGATAGGTACTGTAAGATATGCTGCCTTATTTGTTTAAAAAAATTTTAAATGCTTAATTGCTAGTGGGCACACAATGCAGCATATAGATCATGTACCATAGAAATGTATATTTGAAACCTATACGATCTTATTATTAATCAATGTCACCCCAATAAATTTAATTTAAAAAAAAAAGTTCTTGACTTCTTTTTGTCACTAACACAGCTGCCAGTTAGGATGTCACTTAAGTTCCTTCTAGAGAATCTGCTGAGTCAGTCAGAGAACTGCTGAGTCACCCAGGGGCTGTGACCATGAGGCTCGTCAGCTGCTTTCCAGAAAGCAAGTTCTTGGATGATTACAGCATGGTCCTCTGCCCTGGGCTTTCTATCACCCATCAATGGAGCTTCTGTGGCGGAAGCCAGCTCTGAAGTTCATAGGTCATGTTTCTTCCAGAACATTCCCTGAATCCTATTCATTTGTCCTGCCTTGAAGGCATTCATCTGGAAGGTAAAAAAGGACAGAAATCTGAGTCTCTCAGTAAGGCTCTCCTTTAACTCAACATTCCTAGTCTTAGAATGTCTACCTTGCTGCTAAGAGCTGCCCAAGTAGCAGTGACAAAGCAAACCTTCAAAATGTGCATTAAATGTGCACAAATGTACATACGTAGCTGTTGCTAGAGTCTAGGATAGTACTCTACAACCAGATTGTCTGTATTTTTGTAATGAAATCTGAAATAGTGTTCAAAATAGAAATGTCTCAAGTGAATTCCAGGAAGTGTGGTTGGTATTACTGGGAAGTCACAGGTACCAATGAGGGGCGGGTTTCCCCTCAGTACCACAGCCAGCTGGTGTAAGCACCAGGCAGGGGCTGTGCTCTGCTTTTGTTCCCTGTCCTCGGACTGGGCCATGAGCTTGTATTCTCACTGTGTACACTATGTCACATACAGAGCGATGCTTAGTAAACAATCTGAGGATGATGACTATAAAGAGAAGACAAACAAAACATAATCTTTCCCCTCCAGGGATTTTTCTTGAAAAAGGAATACTAGCCCTAACTGGTTTGGCTCAGTGGATAGAGCGTCTGTCTGTGGGCTAAAAGGTCCCAGGTTCAATTTTGGTCAAGGGTGTATATTTTTATTGTAAGCACATCCCCAGTAGGAGGTATGAAGGAAGTACAATAGCTGATCGATGTTTCTAACTCTCTATCCCTTTCTCTTCCTCTCTAAAAAATCAATAAATATTAAAAAAAAGAAAAAAGAATACTGAATCAGAGGCAATGTGGACTTACAGAGAAAGCAGGGATTGTGGAGTTAGATCTCCTAGTCACTTAGTCACTTATAAGCTGTGTAACTCTGGGCCAGTCACTGAATATATCTGAGCCTCAACTTCTTCATCTGTAAAATAGAAGTTGTGAGGATTAACTGCATTGATGGTGCCGTGCATCTTACAAAGAACAGGCAGTCAATAAATAGAGGCTGTTGTTATTGCCATTCAGATTTAAAAAAAAAATTCAGTTGGTATGGTATGGGATCAAATGATTAGATAAGGCTTAGCACAATGGGGTGACAAGACTTGGAGTGGACCTTAAAAGATGGGTGAAATCAAGACAAGAGTAAAGGAGGTTGGTGGCCCAGGCCAAAGGATGATACCATAATCCTTTTGTAGAAAAGGTATTGTCAGATTATCCTGGTGAATTAGGCTTCGGGTACTTGAAGAGGGACAACTCTCCAGCTATAACAGCTAAAGCATTGATGATCTGAAGAAAAATTCTGTTAAGAAACAATCTCCAAGAAAGAGGAGCCTATGAAAAATCAGACTGCTAGTAACCCTTCTATGTTTCATGTTTGTTTTCCTCATATGAGAACAGTCTACCAGCTGAGGTCTACAGCTACAGACTCAGAGTTCCTAGGGTAAGGAAGGATGGCTCTGTCATTCTTAGAATTTGTGCTACTAAGTTGGGAGTGAAAACCAACGAAAATGCTGTGTGCTGTTACAGCAACTGTTGGTTCTGGATCTCCGTCAGCATAGTATTTTTATGCAGAAGCAAGCTGCCAGCTTTGCAACTCTAAAGTGTGTAGGAGCTTTATGCCCAGATCCTGTTTTTAAACACAGACACACGCCCCAGTGCATGGAACCAGTTCATTAGCACTTGTGCAAGCACAAGTCTCTTCCTTGCTGCACCGGGGAGAAAATTAACAGATTTTGTTTTTAATGAACATGTATTTTTATTCTACAGGAATCTGCATTATCTGTGTGTGATAGTTCTGTGTTTTTTAAAACTAAAATGGAAGAAAAATTGGAAAGGCTAGAAAATGACTGCCTGTCAGCATTTTTAGAGGTTTCTTTGGCTTCCAGGGGGGAAAAAAAAAAAGGCAAGACTTAAGATCCTGTGTGTGGTTTGAGGACAGACGGAGGCATGTGTTTTGATTTGAGGATCAGAACTGAACCTAAACTTATAAACATTCCCTATCTTATTTTGTAATAGTTTAGCTTTGCTAAAATGCAGAGGAAACATTTTGTTGTTCAGAGTTTCCAGGGATTTAGGAGTATGGATGCCCATCAGACAACCCTAAGGTGCAGATTATCATAACTATACCCTCTCTGTCCATATAGTCATTTAAAAAAAAAAAACAATAATTATTCAACTAGATGTCATACTCTTTGCCAGTGCTGAGGCTGCCCGGGTTTGGGTGGTTTGTACATTTGTTTGCATGGCCTCCAGCTCAGCCAGTTTTTCACAGGCCTCAGCAGTCAGACACTCATTTATTCAAATAAACAGCATAAGTAAATATGAGTTGAACACCTATAAGTACCACACATTGAGCTAAGAGCTGGAAATAAAACTGGATACAAATGTTCCTGCCTTCAAGGATCTTGCAGTAAACGAGCCAGGACAACACGATCAAGTAAGTTCTATAAGAAACAAGGGAAATTCAGCAAAGCTCTCTCACAGCCATTGAGCCGAGTCTTGAAGAGCAAGTAGGTCTTAGCTTGGTGAAGAGCCCAGGGAAGAACATTCTAGGTGGAAAGAAGGACACGTGGAAAGGCATGTGGTGCAGTGTACACGTGTCATTATGGCCAGACTGTAGAAGCTCCAGGAACAGCTCAACAGGCTTCTCCGGGGAAGGTGCCAGGAGCCAGGGAGCCGTTTCACGTTAGGTCATTCAGACACATAGAACTGTACTTCTTCCTGATAGACACCAAGAGAATCCTCTCACCCAATCGTGTGTGGGTGGAACACTTGATGAAAAAAATGAACTGGACCCATTGGCTCGCAATTAATATACAAAGGATAGTCATGGTTAAAAAATAAAGTTGTTATTTTAAAAAGTTGTTGAGGGCAAGAAGACTTCATCCTAACTTGCTAGACATTAGGCCTCACAGGTGTCACTTTCAGAGAAGTCCTTCCTTATTAGACATTATAGAAAGATAAACTCGTATTCATAACCATAGAGAGTTACTGCCTCCTGAGAAAGAATAATAACAGAAGCTTTTATTTAACACTACATCACTAACTTTCCCTATTCTGTGTCATGAAGAGAATGCTTTTTAAAAGTTCTTCTTTGCAAATTTGGGCATCTACGTGGGAATTGATAAAGTACAGATGCACTCATCACTAAAGCGAAGTAGATTTTTCAGTTCCCAGTGGTGGAACTCAAGACAGAAAGTGGCAAAAACTCTGGATTTTGCATCTCTTCTATGAAGACTTTGTGTATAAATGAGCTAGGTGTTCTTTGCCATGAGATCTCCCACTACTTGATTCCTACCTGCCAGAGGTGGTTGGGAGTATGATGAGTAATGATCCCAGTGTTATAGAAATTAAAGGTGCTCCTTGACTTATAAAGATTGAGTTACATCTGGATAAGCCAATCAAAAGTTGGAAATGCATTTAATACGTCTTACCTACTTAACACCTGCTCAGACCACTTACATCAGCTTACGCTTGGGCAAAATCATCTAACATAGGGGTGTCAAACTCAATCAGAGAAGGGGCCAAAATCTAAAATCCAGCCTAAATCGCGGGCCAAATGGTTTACTGAACAGTCATAAACTGTCACTGTGATGGAAACGCAGCGGAGTGCAGTGATGACAGCGCGGTGCAGGCCACATTGCAAGGCCTGGCGGGACGGATTTGGCCCGCGGGCCTTGTGTTTGACAGATGTGGTCTAACACAACAAATACACTGTGCAGTATTGGTTGTTTATCCTGGAGATTTCATGGCTGGCTGGGAGCCATAGCAGCATCATGAGATATATTACCACATATTGCTGGCCAAGGAAAGGCCAAAATTCTAAACACCGTTTCTACTGAGTGCATATCACTTTCGCACCATCATAGAGTCAAAGACCATCTATCTAGGAAACAATCCAGGTAGAGGACTTGTATAATAAGTAAAAATTTACAAATCAGTTTCAAACAGTTTCTAAAACTACTACAGCAATACCGAATCATGAGAAGACTTAAAATCATACAATTCTCAGGCTTGCAAGTAAATTGCCACTGGGTTTTAAGATAAGTAACTCACTTTTCTGAAAGAATGACTTTTTCCTCATACAGTGTTTGATTTCATTTATAATCTTTGTCTCAGTCTGTTTTCTTTATTCTGTAATGAAATGCTCTCTTGTTGAAACTGAAAAAATAATATTTAAGCAGATATGTGTACTAATGAGTTGATTTCCAAATCTTAGTTGTAGAGAAAATGGACAATGTGACAGGAGGCATGGAGACATCTCGCCAAACCTATGATGACAAGCTCACAGCAGTGGAAAGCAACCTGAAAAAATTAGGTAATTTGTTTGAGAGTGAACCACAAGATCAAATCCCCTGACTCCACTTTTATAAATGACCACAGCTTTTTAGAATGATGCTACTATAAACTCACATTCACCCGAAAGGACATGAAGTTTTTGTATTGTGTGTTGAATCTTTCCTCATGAGTTAATTCAGACTTTTAATTTTAAAAACAAGAGCCAATTTTGGAGTTGAATCCCCCAAAGATCATTATTATGTACCCAAAATATCTGAAGGCCAATCCTGATCAGAAAGAACCACAAATACAAAGCTCATTTATAAAATGCTCAGTAAACTCCTATTTGAACTATAGAAGAATCTCTGCATTGAAGACTTACAGAGATTAATTTTAAAAATAAATGATTCTAGCCTATTCTATCATTTGATTTTTGTTTTCATTTTTAAAAAAGGAATTTTGGTGACTTTAACAAACAATAGGATATTCCCTTCTGACACGCTGCCTGATAGTCTAGACCAGTGGTCGGCAAACCACAGCTCACAAGCCTCATGCAGCTCTTTGGCCCCTTGAGTGTGGCTCTTCCACAAAATACCACGTGTGGGCACGCACGTACAATGTGATTGAAACTTTGTAGCCCATGTGCAGAGGTCGGTTTTCGGCTCTCAAAAGAAATTTCAATCATTGTACTGTTGATATTTGGCTCTGTTGACTAATGAGTTTGCCGATCCCTGTTCTAGAGTCAGATAAATACTCATTCCTTTTTTGAAAAAAAAAAAATGTCCTGGTCTTAGCATCTTTTCCAGGTCCCAGGAACTAATCCTATATAATAGAAGCCTAATATGCTAAGTGTGTGTTGACCATTCAACCAATCAAAGCGTGATATGCTAATGATATGCTAAGGCTGCTCAACCACTTGTTGATGTGCACTGACCACCAGGGGGCAGATAGTCAACTGGTTGTGATGTGCACTTACCACCAGGGGGCAGATGCTCTGAACAGTAGGTGAGCTTGCTGCTGGGGTACAGACCATCAGGACTGAGTGAGATGGGCTGGACATGCCCTGGAGCTCTCCCACGGTCCCTCCCTGGCCCTGATAGGTTCCCTCGGCCTGGCCTGCACCCTCTCACAATCCTGGACCACTCGGGGGATGTTGAAGAGCTGGTTTCAGCCCAATCCCTCAGGCCAGGTTGAGAGACCCCACTGTGCATGAATTCATGCACCAGGCCTCTAGTTTTAACATATTTGTGGCTACACTTGAAACCCATATACTTTTATTTACCAACGTCACCCCAATACATTTAACTTTAAAATAGATATGTGGATTTTACTAATGCAGAGCAGTCTGCATATACCACAGTTTTCATACCTAAACCACCAGGCATACTAATTAAGTAAGACTAGTTAAGTCTCTTTAGAATCTTTGACCTTACCTGGACACTTCTCCGAATTACCGATCTTCAGTAACAAACATATCTCATTTCAGGGGACCAAACTGGGGAAAAAGCTATAAGCACCAATTCAGAACTCTCCACCTTCAGATCAGACATTCTGGATCTTCAACAACAGCTTCGCGATATCTCAGAAAAGACCAGCAAGAACAAAGATAGGCTGGAGAAGTTACAGGCAAGTGGGGACGCACTGGTGGACAGGCAGAGTCAACTGAAAGAAACTCTGGAGAATAACTCCTTCTTCATCACCACTGTAAACAAAACCCTGCAGGCGTACAATGGCTATGTGACGAATCTGCAACAAGACACCAGCGTGCTGCAGGGCAACCTGCAGAGTCAAATGTACTCTCATAACGTGGTCATCATGAACCTCAACAACCTGAACTTGACCCAGGTGCAGCAGAGGAACCTCATCACTAACCTGCAGCAGTCTGTGGATGACACGAGCCAGGCTATCCAACGAATCAAGAACGACTTCCAAAACCTGCAGCAGGTTTTTCTCCAAGCCAAGAAGGACACCGATTGGTTGAAGGAGAAAGTCCAGAGCCTGCAGATGCTGGCTGCCAATAACTCTGCCTTGGCTAAAGCCAACAACGACACCCTGGAGGATATGAACAGCCAGCTCAGCTCCTTCACAGGTCAGATGGACAACATCACCACGGCCTCACAAGCCAATGAGCAGAACCTGAAAGACCTGCAGGACATACACAAGGACTCGGAGAACAGAACAGCCGTCAAGTTCAGCCAGCTGGAGGAACGCTTCCAGCTCTTTGAAACGGATATCGTCAACATCATTAGCAACATCAGTTACACGGCCCACCACCTGCGGACGCTGACCAGCAATCTGAATGAAGTCAGGACCACTTGCACAGATACCCTGACCAAACACACGGACGACCTGACCTCCTTGAATAACACACTGGCCAATATCCGCTTGGATTCTGTTTCTCTCAGGATGCAGCAAGATACGATGAGATCGAGATTAGACACGGAAGTAGCAAACTTATCAGTGATTATGGAAGAAATGAAGCTTGTGGACTCCAAACATGGTCAGCTTATCAAGAATTTTACAATACTGCAAGGTGAGTGGAAATTCTGAATTTATTTTTGTACCCGTTATCTATTGCTGTGTGACAAATGACTCGAAAACTTGGCAATTTAAAACAAGGAACATTTATTTTCTCATAGTTTCTGAGGATCAGGAATTCAGGAGCAGCTTGACTGAGTGATTCTGGGTCGGTATCTGTCACAAGGTTGTAGTCAAGGTATTGGCCAGGGCTGCAGTTGTCTGAAGCCATAACTGGGCCTGGAGAACCTGCTTCCAAGATGGCTCACATGCCTCGGTAGGAGGCCTTAGCTCCTCACTATGGAACCTGCTTGCGTGTCCCCACATGGTAGCTGGTTGCCTCCAGAGCAAGTGATCCAAGAGAAAGAGAAAGAAAGAAAAAAGCCACAATGCTTTTTATGATCTAGCCTCAGAAGTCACTTACCATCACTTCTCCCATAATCTGTTCTTTAAAAATGAGTGACTCAGCCCAACCGTCACTCAAGGGGTGGGGTGGCGAATTGAATTCCATGTCTTGAGAAGAGGTGTTAACTAAGAACTTGTGGACAATGCTCAAAGGTTCTCCATCAAATATTTCTTGAATAGAAGATTGGTTAAGTTGGATTTCATTAGTGCCTAGCTATTTCAGTGCTATTATAAACTGGATTATTTTTTGGAAGCAAGATTAATTCTTTTAGGTCACACCGTTATCATTAAGAGACTCCTATTTCCAGTGTCAGAAACATGTAAGGATGACCATCCCAACAAAGATTAGAGAAGAGATTATTAAGAGGATAATTTGTGAGCTTTCGGGGAAGCAGCAATCATTAGAATTCGATCACTAAGAAGGCAGGTGGACCTAACATTTCTTCACATGAACAAGCTTATTAGCTTGATTAAAGTAATGCAATGAAGATAGCATGCTAGATCTCACCAAGAACAAGATAGAGGTTCTACCCTCTCTAGGGAGCACCCAGCGCCTTTCCCCACACCCTTCCTTCAGGAGCATTTTCCTGGCTTCTCTCTCTTCTAAGCTTCAAGGGCCCTTCTATTGCCTCTGTAACCTGTTTCCTGAGCCCATTTCTTCTACAGCTCTCTTCTACCTCTTACAAAAACAAGTAACAAGATGGAGAAATAGGTGCTGGATTATAGCACCGTTAGGTGGATTTATTAGTTGTATGTTCTGTGCTACACATTACAAACTCAGAAGCTCACTATCACACCCATTTCTTATCTCAGTTTCTGTGGGTTTGGTGTCTGGTTAGGTGGGTCCTTTGCTTAGGGTCTGACCAGACTGCCGTCTCATGGAGGAGCTACAGTTTCATCCAAGGCTTAACTGGGGAAAGATCCATTTCCACACTCCCTCAGGTTCTTGGCAGAATTTATCTCCAAGTCAGAAACTGTAAGATTGAGGTTCTTGGGTTTTGGGAGGGCGCCTCATTCCAAGTGACTCCCTGAAAACAGTGCAGTTTCTTCAAAGCCAGAAACAGTGTCTTTGCCCCTCCAGTCTGCTCAGATGGGGTCTTAAACTATGTCATTTAGTTGGGGAGTGACATCCCATCACCTTTGCCATATGCCGTTGATCAGGTTCCACCTTCAAGGGGGAGGGATTACCTAAGAGCATGAGTCATTGGGGGTCACCCCAGGGTGTGTCTGCCATGCTGGCTGAATGAACATAAAGAGTGATAGTCAGTGGGCCCCTGTGCGCCTGGAGGCAGGTCTGGATGGCAGATGGCAGGGTCCTGTTCAACAGCTTTGTCAGTGACTAGTGTGAGGATATGGATGACCTGGTAATCCAATCTTGTTGACATGAAACTGTATATACTAACTAATGGATGATAGAATTATAATTTAACATGATCTGGAGAGTAGGGAACTGTAAAACAGTGCCAGCAAAATGAAATAGGGAACATGTGTAAAGTTCTGCTTGTAGACGGAACCAAACACAAATGTTAATGGGTAGCAAGGCTCAGAGGAAGTATGCATGGAAAGCAAGAGGCTTTCGTTGACAGTAAGCAGCTAATGTGCCTACCGGGGAAGCTAATGTGATCTTTGCCTATATTAACGAAAATGTGATATCCAGAACGAGGGAGATGAAACTCCATTCAGTATGCCAAGACCACCGCTGTTGTTCTCAGGGATACAATATACTTTGGAGAGCCCCTTTCAAGAGGGACGTTCGTTGACCAGCACACTTAGAAAAGGCACCACGAGCTGTAAGGAAGGATTGAGGGACCGAGGAATTTTAATCTATAAGTGAGGCTGCTTAATGGGCAACAAGGCAGTTGTCTGCATGATTTATAAGGCTATCATGTGGCCGAAACCAGTTTGGCTCAGTAAATAGAGCATCAGCCTTCAGACTAAAGGGTCCCGGGTTCAATTCCGGTCAAGGGCATGTACCTTGGTTGCGGGCACATCCCCAGTGGGGGGTGTGCAGGAGGCAGCTGGTCAATGTTTCTCTCTCATCGATGTTTCTAATTTTCTATCCCTCTCCCTTCGTCTGTGGAAAATCAATAAAATATATATTTTTTTAAAAGGCTATCATGTGAAAGGGATTTTTTTCCTTTTTTTAAAAAAATGTTTTTATTGATTTCTGAGAGAGGAAGAAGTAGGGAAAAAGAAAACATCAATTGGCTGTCTTCTGGATGCCCCCACTGGGGATGGAGCCTGTAACCTGGGCATGCGCCCTGGCCGGGACTCAACTGACCTCCTGGTGCTATGGGTTGATGTTCAACCACTCAGCAACACAGGCTGGGCATGTGAAAGGGGTTTTAAATGTCATCTAAGGAGCTCCAGAGGATGAAACCAAAACTAGTGGGTGTTCACTAAAGGAAGATAAATGTTGGTTTTTATATGATATTCCTTATAAAAATTGGTGATGCCTGAAAATTTAATGGTTTCTCTGAGCAACAGGGGTGCCTGAACTCTGGAGGGGCTGGATAATTGCAACTCAGGAGTCCTCCTGAATAAGGTGTGGGCTTTCAAACGATAGGGAAGTTCTTCAGTGTTTGATCTATTTGTCTTTCTATTCTTTCTCAACCTAAATTCAGAATTACAGTTCATCTCAGCATATGTGCAACCTCATAAAACATGAGTTTTCTAAATATCTCTTAGAATTGTAATACCTTTAGACAATTCTGTCATGGTATCTGGATATTTATTTTTCAATTTATAAATTTCATAGTTTTATTATTCCATTCGTTTGTTAGCTCTTCTTCTACAAGGAAATTTCTGGCATATTTAATAGCATGATTTTTCAGCTAAGGAGCTCATAGTTAAATAGTCAGACCCCACCTTTAAATTAGATAGTGTCTCTGTTATTTTGATTATTTTTATCAGCTAATGTTGAGTGTGAATGTACTGAGTGCTTTGTAAAAAATCATCCCTCACAATGCACACTCAGGTGGGAAGCTCACCTCTTACCCTGAGCTATTCCTCTGCAAGCTGTGGAACTGTGAAAGCTGCATCCTCCTAGTACCATGGTCGGCAAATTGCAGCTTGAGAGCCACATGCGGCTCTTTGGCCCCAAAATACCACGACCTGGGCAAGTCTATTTTGAAGAAGTGGCGTTAGAAGAATAAGTTTAAAAACTTTGGCTCTCAAAAGAAATTTCAATCGTTATACCGTTGATATTTGGCTCTGTTGGCTAATGAGTTTGCCGGCCACGGACCTAGTACATCTGCTCTTCTCAGGGAGGCCTGAGAGTTAGTGGGTGGGGAGCTCTGGAATGGGATAGACCTGGGTACAAGTTCCTCATCCTCTCTGTGCCTCTGTTTCCACCTGTGTCTACCTTTTAGACTCATGAGGACTTAAAGCAATAATGTCAATAAAGCACTAGCAGAGGGTTAGCTAATGTTCATATCCAAGTTCAGTTCCTATCCAAGATCCCCTTCTACTGTAGCACTAGCCAACCTATCACAGTAGAGAACAGTAGTTTTATGGGCACAAAGAATGAAATTGTACAGACAGGGTTAACACTGAGCTGGGTCCAATTACTGCTGGCTCTCTGGTGCCCAGCCCTGGAATCAGTCTCAGGTGACACCAACAGCAAGCTTTCACTCATTTTTAAATCCATGTTTATTGAGTGTCTGTGATATGCCAGTCATGCTGCTGAGCAGTTGGATAAATTGTCTGCTTTCATTGTTACATCTCTTTAAGCTAAGAATGATCAGCACACCCACTGCAGGGGAGGGAACAGAGGCCCGGAGAGCCTGAGCAACTTACCTAAGGTCAAGGAGCTAGTAAATGGCAGACTGTGCTAACCTCAGGTCCGTCTTAGGGGTGTCGAACTCAATCAGAGAAGGGGCCAAAATCTAAAATCCAGCCTAAATAGCGGGCCGAATGGTTTCCTGAACAGTCATAAACTGTCATTGTGATGGAAACGCAGCGGAGTGCAGTGATGACAGCGCGGTGCGGGCCACATTGCAAGGCCTGGCGGGACGGATTTGGCCCGCGGGCCTTGTGTTTGACACATGTGGAGCTCCTAGGCCCTTGCCTCCAGTGACACCCTGCTGCCCTGTGATGACTTAGAACAGATGACCTATTCAGGGAGGTTGAGATGCAAGAGTTTCTTTTCAGGAGAGCAATTGATTAAGGCCTCAGTAAGGGAATGGCATTTGAGCTGGACCTTGGGAGGCTGCAGGATAGGAGACAAAGTAAAGTGGACCAGGCAGGAGGCCAACCCCACCACTTCTTGACACACTTCCTCAGAAGACTGCTTGTCTGGGATCCTGGAGAACGGGCATTTGAAGGCATAGAAGCAAACTGGACAATTGGCAAGAAACAGTAGTTCAAATGTCCCTCCTCTATAGACAGGGAGCTTCCATGACTCTCCAGAAGCCTGTCTTAAACATGAGATTGAGAAGCAAATTTTTCTTCAGAATAATTGCCAAATGATACCTATTAAATTTCCTTTTATTTTTTAATATATATTTTTATTGATTTCAAAGGGGAAGTGGGGGCGAGATAGAAACATCAGTGATGAAAAAGAATCATTGATTGGTTGCCTCCTGCACCCTCCCCTCCCCCCCTCACACACACACACACACTGGGGATTGAGCCCACAACCGGGGCACGTGCCCTTGACTAGCATCAAACCTGAACCCTTCAGTCCTGAGGCCAACGCTCTATCCACTGAGACAAACCAGCTAGGGCCAATTTCCTTTTAACTTGTGCATTCCATTCCACCTCAGTGAGGCAGGAATGATTTTTATCAAGTTGTAGGTGTTTAATAAGTATTTGATTAATTTAATTGCAGTCAAAATAGATTTTTAAGTGAGAAGAAAGATATGTCAGATTACATTACTATTCTCCTCTGTTCTTCCAACCTTACCACTCATCGTTCTAAAACTGAGTCTCCAAGGTTTTCGCTAGCACTAAGAACTGAAGTGGTTTCTCTGTCTTCCGTTAAGCACCAGCAGTCATGTTGGAAAACCAATTGGAACGTTGTCTCCGGGGCAGGCCTGCAGTTTGGTTGCAAAGCAGAAGCAGTGCAGGGATTGAAAGTCTCTGTCCTCCCTGAAATGCTTAGCTCCAGGATTCGGGGGTTCCAGGCGCCCAGCTGGAGGCTGGGGGACACGTGGAGGCTTTGCAGACAGGAGCTGCTCAGGGTTCACACCCGGGCATTCCGGGAGCTTGTGATGGCTTTACCAGCGGCATGGGTATCCTGGCATTTCAGATCCTGAGCCAGGGAGCCACCCACTGGGCCTTGAAAGCCAATCTCAGCATTGATCTTGTGTGGGGCATGACAGGTGCCTCCCCGTGTAGAACTCACGTTATTACTGCACAAGCTCATAAATACTCCCACATCATTCATCCCAGGGTTTTCGGTCTTAAAGCACTAAAGGTAGCTTACATTTTATTTCATTTTATTTTCACTTCAACCACCACCCAATAAAAGTTCCAAGTGAGACCTAAAACAACCTGGGGTCATCCAGATGCTAATAAAACAAGACTAGCATCCCAGGTCCGAGGAAGATATGTCCCTGGCATTAATACTAATCTTCTTTAAACGGCCCAGCCCTGACTTTTAACATGGGCTTGACTCTTTTTCTCAGTCATTTCTTTAAAGGAAATAGCAAGTTTTTAAGTTTCAACGAGCCAAGTACTATCTTAATGGGCAAAGCATATGAGTGATCGATCCCCCTTAACGCATGGGACACCTACAGTCGCCTCTGAAGGCAGAGCCAGCTTCCTGCTGCAGCTCTGTGATGGGTTTCCTGAGGCCGAGCAGCTGTGGGTGGAGGCAGTGGTGACCAGTGTGCATGCTAGGATTTTATCCACAGCCATAAATATCAGCCCTTATCTGAGACAGATAACCTATTTGTGATGGATATAGTGCCTCAAACGGAAACATCGGTTTTTATTCTAACCTTGATTTGAACAAAGAGCTTGGTGCCTCGGGCCCGAGTGTCCTCAGATGTGCTGTGGGAATTACATGTCACGAAGGTCAGGTGGCATAACGGATGTGCAAGGGCCCCGAAAGCTGTCGTTCGCTGTACAGAACGCTGGTGTGTTTGAAGTTCCCTGTCCGCCCTGAGAGCGTAAGACAGGCCCATGTCACGTGGGCTGCTGGATGAGGTGAGCGGGTATTTGCCTCCCACCTTGCCCCCTGCCTTTTTCAGGGAGAACTGCTGTTTCCTTTTTCTGGTAAAAAACGATTTTTTTTTTCTTCTTCTTCTCTTCCCTGCCAATTCAGTGGTCCACCTAGTTCCCCCCTCTAGCCCACCTTCCCAATTTGCATGATCAGACTAACAAACTGGGAAAAGTGAAACTGACCCTCCCTGGGCCTGGCCCCGAGGGCACTTTCCCACCGAGACTTCCTGTCTCTCTGGGCTGGTCCACGAAGAGTGCGGCTCGGGCCTCAGGACAGCAGTGTGCCTGCAGCACCGGGGAAGGGGGCAGAGCACCGGGCGGGGGTCACAGAGGAAGGCCTCTCTGGGTGGTGCCCCTCAACACCGGATAGCATTTCCCCCCCTAATTCAACTATTTAGGTATCCCACAATAACATATGGTGCTTGTCATATAACAGGGCATTAATATTTGTCCAGTAAGTGGGGGAAAAAGAGGAAATAAGTGGGAGGGGATCTTGATCCCAAGCTGCCCGGTTTTTGCTGGGGACACATGGTCCCAGTGGACTAGGAGAGCCCAGTTGGATGGTGGGAGTCCTGTGGATGCTGCTGCATGGAAGTTGTCCCTTCCCCTACATCAGCGAGTACCAGAAAGTGGTGTGCCTAAGAGCTACTCTAAATGCTTGGAGCGGGAGGGTGAGCTTAGAAACATTTCTATTAAAAAAGAAAAAAAAAGAAAAAAATACTAGCCCTAGCTGGTTTGGCTCAGTGGATAGAGTGTCTGCCTGTGGACTGAAGGGTCCCGGGTTTGATTCTGGTCAAGGACACATGCCTGAGTTGCAGGCTCAATCCCCAGGAGGGGGCGTGCAGGAGGCAGCCGATCAATGATTCTCATCATTGATGTTTTTCCTCTCTCCCTCTCCCTTCCTCTATGAAATCAATACAAATATATTTTTAAAAAATACTATCAACAGTAGTATGGTAAAAAACAGTAAGCAATCCTTAATGTTTACATTTTGTATGTCTCGATCTTTTCAAATTGGAAGTTTTATGAAAGGATGACATTTTCCCCGTCCCTTACAATGGATTTCATGTTGTACCATTTGTATGTTTATGTTTCAGGTCCTCCTGGCCCCAGGGGTCCGAAAGGTGACAGAGGAGCGCAGGGGCCCCCGGGGCCCACTGGCAACAAGGGCCAGAAGGGAGAGAAAGGGGAGCCTGGCCCGCCCGGCCCCGCCGGGGAGAGGGGCCCCATCGGGCCGGCGGGCCCCCCCGGAGAGCGAGGCAGCAAAGGCTCCAAAGGCTCTCAGGGCGCCAAAGGCTCCCGCGGGTCCCCGGGGAAGCCCGGCCCTCAGGGCCCCAGCGGCGACCCGGGCCCTCAAGGCCCGCCGGGCAAGGACGGCCTCCCCGGCCCCCAGGGCCCCCCCGGCTTCCAGGGCCTGCAGGGCACCGTGGGGGAGCCCGGCGTGCCGGGGCCGCGGGGGCTGCCCGGCCTGCCTGGGGTGCCCGGCATGCCAGGCCCCAAGGGCCCCCCTGGCCCTCCAGGCCCGTCGGGAGCAGCCGTGCCCCAGGCCCTGCAGAACGAGCCAACCACAGCACCCGAGGCCAACGGTGAGTCTGAGCCCTCCCTGGCCCCGGGGGACGGGCAGAGGGTGTGCTCACGGCGGGGCTGGCCCGCGCGCCCTCCACGCTCCCCCACACACACACCCCACACACACACACACGGGGGCGGCGCTGGGCTCCGCTGCTCTCACGGGCGCGTGCAAACACGCCAGGCTCCCTAGCCCTTGTCTATTTAACGGAGTCGGCCTCAGGGGCAAACTGGTCCCCAGACATTTCCTTCATGCAAGTCCAAGGCTGGCCACTCCCGACCCAGCCCGTCCTCACTTATGCCCTTCCCCTGGGGACAGACGCCCCTCACATAACGTGCAGGTGGGACCTTCTGTTACGGAAGCCCAGGCTTCGTGTCTTCTGAGAAGGGATCGTGGTGACGTCGAGCCCTTTTCAACACGAAACCTTTGGTAAAATCTTAAACGCTGGGTTTGCAACCAAGCCCATTTTTCTCTCCTTTGACCCACACCCGATTCCACTTGATTTCCTTGTATAACTCGGGTCATCTCTGCTGTTCTGTGAGCCCGATTAGGTTCCGGGTCCTCCCACGCGGTTGTCTGTCGGTTCCATAGGACTCCAGGCTGGCGGTGACCCATCTGTGCCCGCACTGCCTGTGGCGGCCGTTTCCGTCGTTGTAAGGACTAATGTGGGTGCAGAGGAACAGAGCCCAGATATCTTCCAGATTGTGTAGCTTAAACCGTGATTGCAGCTCCCTGCACTGGTCCCTGCTCCCAGCACGTCCGGGCTCCGCACGCGGACGCGGGGGCTGCTCCTGGCCGGGGAGGGAGGCGGGGCGTGGCCTGCGAGCACGCAGCGGAGGGAGGCACGGTGCTTTTCCTGCTCTGCTTGTGATCAGTGTTGCCAACCTCCGCACTCCTAGGCTGCCCGTCTCACTGGAAGAACTTCACAGACAAATGCTACTACTTTTCGGTCGAGAAGGAAACTTTTGAGGATGCGAAGCTTTTCTGTGAAGACAAGTCTTCACATCTCGTTTTCATAAACACAAGGGAGGAACAGGTATGTTTGCGGCATACTTAAGAGTTGGGGAAAACTATAATTTAGGGATAGCTCACATTTGGAAATGGCATGCTTACTGGGGAGTCGACGATATCAAGAACTCGTGGTCGCGTGAAAACAGAAGGCTGTGTTGTGGAGATTTGGGCTTTACCCAGTGACAAGAAGCACTTCTGGCGTGGGAATTGTATCCTCCTGCTTCCACCTGGAAGACTGCTGTCCATCCTGGGAGATGCGCGGCTCCTCCTGGTGGCTGTCAAGAGCAGTAATGCAGAAGAGAAGCCTGCGGGCTGGCACCGGGCACCTGAATGGGGGGGGGGGGGGGGGGGGGGGGGGGCGCGGCACAAAGGCATGAGCACCAGAGGGGCAAGGAAGAGCAGACAAGGCCATAGGGACAGAGCCCACAGGTGCTAGGGTTGGTGAGCACTCAGGCCCTTACTGTGTGCCAGGCACCATGCAAGCCATTTTCTCCTTTAAACTTCACAACAACCCTCCTGAGGCCTCATAAGGTTTAAATGATGTAGTCATGGGATGACAAATAAATGCAGAGCTGGCCTGGAAGTGAGGCCCATCTGGCAGTACCGATGCTCTTTCTTCAGTGCCACGCTGTTCCAGCGGCCTCCTTCCTTTTCCCTTAGTATCTCCAGCAAACACAACCTGGAAAACAGATGCTTCCCCTAGTAACGGACTGGGAATGAGCATATAATCAGGTGCCTGGGCTTTAGGCTCTGCAGAGCTGGGCCCAATCCCAGCTCAGCTGCTTATCTTTATTACGTGGGTTGTTGTGATGCATAAAGACCCACTGCATGTGACACACTGGATATATAGTACCCATGATGCCATGACTGTTGCTATTATAGACAAACACAGGAGGGGTGGGATGGAGCTGGCTGAACTCATTGAGTGGTCTAGGTGAGTTAGAGGAGGAAGAACATTGCTGAAATAGCACTTATGAGTTGATAAGGGGGCCCAGTGCACGGATTTGTGCACCTTGAAAAGAACTGTGGGCTGCCGTGGGCACAGGGGTGAGTGCTCACCATCACTAGCTCGTGTGGGCTCTGTCCCTATGGCCTTGCCTGCTCTTCCTGACCCTGCTGGGTCCACATTCTTGGTGCCCCTTCCTGGCCCCCCATTCCCAATCTGCTGGCAGCCCTGCTCCTGCCACCACTGCTCCCACTCACTGACAGCGGCGGACTGCTTGCACATGCTGACAGCATGGAGCAATTGGGGCTGGTGCAGTCAGCAGGTGCGAGCGGTGGCTGCTGCCCCAATCACCCCTCAGGAGCAGGGAGAGGTGGAGAAGCCCTCAGGTGCAAGCGAGGCTGGAGCCAGCAGCAGGTGCTAGCACTGGGCAGGAGTGCAGTGCATGGAAGCAAAGAATTTTCAGTAACTATTCCAATGACAGCGACCATCGCACTGCCTTGGTCTGGCACACACACCCCCACCCCACTCCCTCGCTCACTTGCTCCACACCCGCCCCCTGGTGGTCAGTGCACATCACAGTGGCCAGTTTGGTGGTTCTGCAGTTCGGACTATTTGCATATTAGCCTTTTATTATCCTACTATATAATATAATAAAAGGCTAATATGGAAATAGCTCCCTCAAATAGGAGTTCAACCAGGGGGTGGGGCCGGCCAGCCAACCACCCACAGCCCCTCCCCCCACCAGCCTGGCCAGATCAGCCTTGATTGGAGGCCAGCCGGACCCCACCTGTGCACAAATTCGTGCACCAGGCCTCTAGTGTAGGATAAAGCCCTCCAAGACAGTGCAAAGCAAAATTATTAAGGAGTACAGCAAAAGCAGAGTAATGTGCTGACACACATCCTCTTTTAAATTATCCTCATTTTCTAAATGTTGGGGGAGAAACCCCACAGACATCTGTTCCAAGGAATACTAATGCACCATCTCTGGTTTATTGCTCAGCAATGGATAAAAAAGCAGATGGTGGGGAGAGAGAGCCACTGGATCGGCCTCACGGATTTGGAGCATGAAAACGAATGGAAGTGGCTGGATGGGACGCCCCTAGAGTATAAGTAAGTGCTCAGAAACTTCCAGATCGGAGGTCAGACTTTTGCTGTTCTGTTTTTTACCTCTTGCCTGACTTCCTACAATTTCTTCCTTAACAACTCCATGTCCCAGACATGCCTCACACTGACGTTCCTGGTACCAGTTGTGCATTTCTATGAGGGGAAATTGTGGTGGGGACGATATATGCTATAAAATAGGATTGCTCTTTTTAGGGACTGAACTTTTTTCATTTCTGTGACTCACAAAAAACACACTTGTAGCTGTAATGTTCTCTTTAAATGCTGCTATGGAGGAGAAGGGAACCCCCTCCCCCCCCAGACGACCTCAGGCACATTCAGAGTTCACCCCTGATCTGGTTGGGCTTCTGTCCAGAGCATGATTATGAACTGCAAGTTTATACGGGAAGTTCACGGGTACTCTAAGCAAAGGTGTTTGTGGGATAACCGTCTTCCAAAGGTCTGAGGATCCCCTTGTGCGGTCCGAAGGGACTTGGGTTCGCTGAAGAATGCAAGCACGTCACAGCACCTCCTCAGAGCTCCGAGGCCCGGACCTCTCCACCAGCTGCCTACCCCAGATGTCCACCGGCCCTGATCCTGCCCAAAGGTCTGACGATAACTAACTTCTTGCCAATTTAAATTTCACTCCTTCCTAGTCCTGCTTTGACTCTCATGGATGTAGAAATGTACAAGAAGCTGCACTCAATAGAGCGGAATTTCTAAAAACCCACCTCTGAATCCTTTCCTTTGCTGGAGACAGAGAAGACAGGCCCATAGGTGCCAACAGGGGTGGGGGCATCTCGGCTTCAGGAGAATGTCCCGAGCATGAAGGAGACCGCAGCATCCATGGCAGCAGGAGAGGAGAAAGCAGGGCGCTCCACGTCTCAGGCGGTGTCACGGGCATTGAGGCCGGACCTGGAGGAGTGGAGGAGCAGGCGTGGGCCAGAGGAGGCGGAGAGGCCGTGGGGACATGGGCTGACAGAGGCTTCTCTGTACTTTCAAGTCCTCCATGTGAAAGCACGATGGGAAGATACAGAAGACCAGAATAAGGCCATGTCTTTAAAAAAAAAAAAAAAAAAAAACAAGAGGGCTCAAAAGTCAAGGTGGAACACTGGGAGGTTTTAGGGCGGCTGAGAGGAGCCTCGGCCTGGCCTGACAGACATCCTGTCCTCGGGGAGAGGAAGTGGCACCACACCCTGGTCCCGGGAGCTGGGCCGTCCGCCGGAGGAGAGGGCCCATGGCTGAGGTGCACCTCAGGAGGCTCCAGCAGCTGAGAGTTGGCATCTAAAATCGGAGCAGTGCAGGGCTGCAGGCGGTGTGGGAGGCGGTGGTGATTAACGGAAAGGGCGAATCTGACTGACAGGTAAGAACGCCAAAACCTTTTTTTTTTTTTTTTTTTAAAGGAGTCTGAGGGGTGCTGAAAAAATATCAGTCTCCTCCACTTTTCTCACAGCCATAAATGCAAAAAAGGTCTGGGTTAGAGTCACTAAGAAATTCAATCTTAAGCCTTCCTCCAAGAACAAAACAAACGGATGGGCCGCATATGGAACGGATTGAGGACAAACACTGCTGCCTACGCCAGCTCTCCCAAGGCGGGACGACTTTCCTCCTGGTCCCCAGGCTCCAGCGAGAATCACACGATTTGAAAGGAGAGCGCCAGCTCGGTACCTGGGACCCGAGAAGGATTACATCACCAGACGCCTTCCCGGGACCCTGTCCCCGGCCCCCGCCACCCTGGAGCCCCCGGGAGCTTTGGCTCTGCGTCCCAGCCACAGCCCCGACGGCGCTTCTCGTTTTCCACCCGAAGGAACACATATCCGTGTAAAAAGAAAAAAAACCAGGATCAAATTTTAAAAGCAGGAATAAACTAGGCAGACATAGGATGAGGCCTCAATAACGGGAGGCTAATTTAACGTGACATGGAATAATAAACATCGCACAAACTAGAAAGAGAGCCAGTGCCGAGAGGGGAGCGCGCACAGGCCCTGGAGCCTGTGGTCGGGCTCCAGGCCCTGACCGAGCTCGCTCAGCTGTGCGACCTCGTGCGAGCCACCCAACCACGCGAAACTCCGTGACCGCATATAGAAAAGGGCCTACGTCGGTATTGTGACTATTAAATGAGATAATATACATAAAGCATTTAGTACAGTACTTGGCCCGCGGGGAGAGCTCAAGAAATGCTGCCTGCTAGCGGCCCGGTATTATTGTCACAATCCCAAGTGTTTTCATGCAGAACAATACTACGTAGCATCCATCTATTATACAGCATCCGGATGGAGATGCCGCACACAGTGGCCCAGATGTCAGACTGAGTTTGGAAAGAAGACAGAAAGAATGTTCTCCACCACACCTCGGCATAGGGGCTGGGTGTCAGGCTCTCAGAAGTCTCCCCAGACACTGCTCACCTTTACCCTCTGGACACTGGCGCGTCCGCCACAGGTTTCCTCTCACCTTTTTTTTTTTTTACAAACATTCACACGCCCTTTTGGAATTGTCTCAGGGTTTTGTGGTTACTGTCAAAGAGGAAATAGAGAAGGGGTGAAAGGCTCTCTCCTCTGCCTCTTGAACCCTCTCCATGTTTTATGCCGATCGCTCATTGAGAAGGACGGTGCTGGAATACGCAGAAGTAACAGTCACATGGAATGGAAGCCATAGGCTGAGGGACACACAGGTCTGAGCTAAGGTTTATTTCCTGTACAGCACATGACCTGCCTCACTGAAGGACCAGCTATTGAGGAGAAGGACGGCATGAACTACAGTATCTGCGACATCACAGAGCAGTGCCCAAGGCAGGCTCCCCGATGCTTCGGGTCCACACACCAGGAAAATTCCAAAAGAAAGACTGCAGGTTGACAAACACTACTCAGATTTTATTTGCCAGCTATGGATGTGGGTTTTAAAAATCACCTATCCACAAATCTCAGCACTAAAAAATAAATAAATAAATAAATAAATAAATATCCCCAGTTCTTTTCAATAAAAACCAGCTGACCATCACACACACACACACACACACACACAGTCCTTATTTTTGTTCTTTCACCACAAGCCTGTGAAAACTCCATTCCTGGCCAGCGCCAGCCCCTGACTGGCGACTGGCCAAGGTCCCATGGTAACGGTGATGATCCCGAGCGCCCCCTGTGAGCCAGCCTCCATGCTGGCCTGGGGGGTCTTTTCCAGAGAGTGTGGCCAGCAGGATGAGCGAGAGGTGGTATTCTTCTACTTAACGTAAGAAAACCTGACTTCTAGGACCGTGATGCAGAAGATCTATGTACCAACCCTAAATGTGGGCACAGCAGAGAGAGGGCTTCAAAGGATATTTCAACGTTCTCCCCTCAGTAACTGGCAGATCGAGTAGAAAAACCAGAAGGGATAGAGCAGACACTACCAACTAACTTGACCTCATGCACATTACAGAACATTTCACCCAGTAACTACCAAGTACACATTTATTTCTAGTACATATGGTACGTCCACCAAGGTAAGCTATATGCTGGGCCCTTAAACAAGTATCAATAAATTTAAAAGCAGTGGAATTATGCAGAATATGTTCTCTAACCAAAGCAAAGTTAAATTAGAAATTGAGAGCAACAACAACAACAAAAGCTGTAAAATCCCAAAATATTTGAAAATTAAAGGACACACTTCTAAATAATCCTCGGGATCAAAGAAGAAATCACAAAAGAAATTTGCAAACGTTTCAAACACAATGGAAGTTTGTAAACATATCAAGTTTTTTGGGATGCAGCTACCAATTTTAAAGGGGCATTTATAGCTTAAAAACACTTAGAATAAAATATTTTAAGTTGAAAATCAATGATCTGAGCTGCTACTTTCAGAAGTTAAAAAGAAGCAGAACAATTAATCCTACAGCCAGTAGAAGGAAGGAAACAACAAAGACTGGAAAGAAACAGAAAACGTACGAACCAGAGAGGATCCGTGAGCCAGGAGCATGTCAAAGCTCATCTTTCTGCTCTTGAGGGATCAAATGCAGGCACATCCCTGGACAGAAGTCATCACTGAATGGAGGCTTAGTTAGCACAGGGGAGTCAGACACAGTGGAATGTGCAGACTATGCACTTGCTCAGCACAGTGCTGGGAGATGGCCTTCCTAAGGCCTGGCCTGCCCACCCGGCCTGCCATTGCCCACCTTAGATCAGTCATCAGAGGTATGATTTTTCTTCCTGAAACACACTGATTTTCTTCCTCTATTCTTGCCCACTTCTTGGTCCGCTGCACAGGACATCACTTGGTGGGAGCATGCTGTCAAGGTAGGAGTGACAGCTTTCATCTCAACATCACAAAGATAAAACATACCTGCCTTTCTGTCTGCACAGACTGCTCCACACAACTTTGTGTAACAGAGGGCCACTGGGTGGTGGGGACCAGAAGGCAACACCCAGTGCCATCTAACTCAGCAATACCTCACTCAGGCGCACGCTTCGTGTTTCCACCGGAGTGGCGCTGGCTCAGGCGCCGAGAGAGAGGTCTTCCACTGAACAGACCGCCTGGCAGTATTTCTACAGGAAAGAAATGCTGCCCCCCAGCAAGACTTTCCCATTTTGAAGCCAGGCTCTTACCAGCAGAAGCTTTTTGGCCGCGAAGCCTCAGCCGATCTTGCGGTCGAAGAGAAAGTTGCTAAGTTGGAAGGGGCAATTCCCAGGATTGGGACTTCGTGTTCTGTCTCCAGTGGGGTCAGCCCAGAATCCTGAGGGAAGGTCACCCCCACGAGCGGATGTGCTTGTGTGTTTCCAATTCACTGGATCAGTGAGTCCGAGTGCTTCCGAGGTCCCCGGTGCACTTACAGTGTGCCATCCCACCACTTCTGTGGCATGTGTATTACATAAAGTATGGGATGCAGGAATTTTTCAGCTCAGGCCTCTGCCATTCTTTTCCCATTCTTCATCTCTCTCTGTCTCTCCCCGCAATCCTTCCCTTTCTGTAAGCATGTCCTTTGGTGTGTTTGAGGTTTTTTCCCCCCAAGCATCCACGTGAAAGTCAAACTATTTTCCCTTCCAACTTCATCTCTCTCTGGCGTCACAATGGCAGTCTGAAGTTTTTAATTCATGTGTTTCTCGCCTGCTCTGTGAATCCTCCGAGGGCTGGGGCTCTGTCTATTCTCCATTTTGCCGTGTTGCCATCACCTAGAATTATCCCTGACCCCGTAGTAGGTGCTGTGTGGGTATCTATTCTGTGAAAATGTGAATGAATTCGTATTTTTAACTCTCCTTCCTATGACCCTGTTTTTAATCTCATTGGTTGATGGTTTTATCTAAGTAAGGCCACTCATCATTTTTTTTTTCTTAAATCCCAGAATATACATTTGATGTGGGAAAGTCTTCTATTTTGTTGCCTCATCCTTTAACTGTAATTTTCAACTGTCCTTTCCCAGTGCCTTCTGATTTTGCTGGTTTTATTGTCAAAAGACGTGGGACAGTTGGGCGCTCTCCCCGGGTGGCCCCGGGAGGGAGGCTGTGGTGGATGGAATGATGAGTCACAGCTTATGGGAAGGAAGCACTCCTGCTGCAGATGTTCCTCCTGACCCTCCACGTGACCACGGGCTTCTGTACAAGGCCTGCTCCTTAGAGAAAATTTACCGTTCAAGTTTTCAGTCTTGATAGCACATCAATCTAACTTCCTGCATGAAAATAGAATAAGGAAGAGCAAGCTTGGCAAAGTGGTGATTTGAGCAGTGGCATCCAACTTAATAAGCCCCAAGTGAACTCATCCTAAAGGAAACTTGTTTTTAAGAATCTCTCTTCCAAAAAAAGCAGTGAGAGGTCTGAGTCATTTTCAGTAAGGTTAAATTACTGTTTCTTTCTAAAGCAACCAACGACCTACAACTTAGCCAGACAACCATAACCACGTATCTCGAATTGTAGGGCCTCTCACTTTCTCTGCCTCACTCTAACTTGTTAGAGAAGCAAGGTATCAAAATGTACAAGGATCCCTCTAGGTTCTCACAAGAGTGTGTGTGTATCATATACTCGGAGTGCAGATAAATTCATACAGATATTTTACACATGCGTCCAGAAGTTAGCATCATAGTACACATGAGACCATTTTCACTCATCTAACTGTGTGGAAGAAGGATTTACTCTCTCAGCATTGTGATGAAGTAGCTCAATGAGTTGATTTCATTGGGACAAAGAAAACTATCTTGTAGGGAGATATTACAATACACACTATAGGCACATCTCGGTTACAGACTACAATAAAGCAAGTAATATTTTTGCTGGGGGAGGGTCTTGCCATCAATTTGTTAAAAAAAAAAAATCAGCATCATAAAGCACAATAAAATAAGGGATAGCTGTACTCTGCATAAACATATCCTTGGGTGAGGATAAAAAAAGAAAAGAGTATGCATGGATTTTTAAACAATGCATTTTCATTCTAAGACAAATGACATGCGCATATATATATATATATATATATGTGTGTGTGTGTGTGTGTGTGTGTGTGTGAGTGTGTATATATGTGTGTATATATATATTTTCCCCTGCTGCTTTGGGAGAAAGAAAACATCTACATGACTTTAAAATAACATTCAATTTCTGCTTTGTTAAAAGAAATTGGAAAGCCGGACAGCCAGATAACTGGGGCCATGACCAAGGGCCAGGAGAAGACTGTGCGGGGCTAATTTACGCTGGGCAGTGGAACGACTTCCAGTGTGAAGACGTCAACAACTTCATATGTGAAAAAGACAGGGAGACAGGTGAGCAGTAGAGGGAACTGAAGAGGGAGCTGCAGAGGTTATAACCTATTAAAGGGCAAGAGGGCTTTGAATCCAGTCCTGATTCTGCCACTGAGGAATAAAACAGCCTCTTAATGAGGTTGTTGTGAGGAGGCGATGATAAAGGTGCCTAATGTAGAGAAAGTACTCAATAAATGTAAGAATAACTAGCCTAGGTTATATTTTCAGACATTTGTTCTTTAACATATGGCACCAGAGTGTTTTTGCTTTCGTTTTCATAGCATTCCATACACATTCCAGGTAGCCAAGCGTTTAATTCCACCTGTATTTATTTAGCATTTACTACAGGCAAGATGCTGTAGTAGATAATGGAGAGATATAGTCAGTGCCCCTTATAAGTTAATAAGCCAAAGAGGCTTTTAGAGACTTTTTTTCCCAAAGGTACTTATCTAAAGCTCCATTTAATACATGACCTTCTTTAGAATATGTTCTCTTAATTTTCTTCATCACAACTAGATTTAAACGTTTTGGGGAGAAGGAGTGAATCTAATAGTTATGGGATTTCTTTTGGAGGTGATGAAAATGTTCTAAATTGTACAACTTTGTGAATATGATAAAAACCACGTTAATTGTACACTTTAAATGATATGTGAATTGTATCTTAAGCCTTTAATTTTTTTTTTTAAACGTTGGAAGACCTTGAAGGGCAGGCACTATCTTTGCACTCTCCCTCTGCCATGCTGCAGAGCATCAGTGTATTTCTAAAGGGAACCCCAGTTTTTTTGCAGCTGCTGCCCAGGGACATCCCTTGATCACCTATTTCTAGAGCTTGCGTTCCTCAGTTCCCATGGGCCAGTAACAGAGACACAGGTCTTGGCCAGCTGCCACCCCCAGGGCACAGCACACACCGCAGAATGACTATACCCCCAGTGTTTCTGTGAAAGAGGTCTATTTGCTGGTCCTGGAGCTTCAGCAAGGGGGCAAGACTTCCGGTTTGGGACTTCTGAGGCCAGTGGACTCCCTCTTTGCACACTCACTCTGCCTCATTCCAGTAGTCAGTATCTCCTAAAAAGAAGCTTGTACTTAAATTATTTTTAACTTAAAATAGTGTTATAAATATAAGCCTCATAGATCTGGTTGGGGACTAATATACAAAAGAGAATACAGTAGAGAGTGACAAGCTACCCATATTTGCTTGTTTCCCTTGTTTGGTCATTTGGGATTTGAGTTGGGACTACACTTCCCCAGAATAGGCTCCTTCAAAATGAGTCTTACCTTTCACTTCACCTGAATCAGAACTGCTAATAAGAACTGCTAGGCATTTCTTTGAAAAAAATCAACATTATTAAATGATGTACTTTGGAATCTTTCCTATAAAAAACACATTTTTTTATTTTTTATTGTACATTAATGTTATTCTTTTAACACCTATCTTTCCCCTCTCTTTTAGTGCTATCATCTTCATTATAATAGACTGTGATAATAACATGAGCAACTTTTCGGACAGTTCTCAAAGGCCCAGGATACTTCCTTCTGATTGCATCACCTGCTCACCAGATTGGAAAAAGCACTGAAAACCAATTCCTGAAGAAATTGACAGCTAATGTTCTTTGCCATTTGCCATTACTCAAGGACTTTGGAACTAAAATGTTCCCTCGGTATGAAATATTGATTTTCAGTACGCAAGTGGACTGAATCACATAGATTTATCAGCCAGTAACTGTACAGTGTATGCAAATCGTTATCTTCCAAAACATGGAATCCTCCGATTATAAGAAGATTATCGTTGGTTGTTGAGCTTTAGGAAGAACTTACACATATACTGTGTAAACAGTACCTGACATTTCTAAAATCCCAAGTGTAGGAAAAATATTCAGACATGGAGATATATAGGCCAACTCTTAATGATATGAAATGTACTTAAAGAGCTTTTAAAACTGTATTTTTGTACAAAATATGTGCCTTTTTACAATCCCCGCCTCTTTTTTTTTTTTTTTTTTGTCATTGTTGCCATTTTACCAATATAATACATGGAGCCAAAGAAAACAATATGGTACTAATAAAAACTCATAGGGTTTCTTGTCAGATTTAATTTTACCCAATGGCAAAGATTTTTTTAGTTGTGGTTTAAAAAAAAAACAAACAAATACCTGTGTGTACATATATATTTTTAAACATCATCATTTCCTCAGAGGAGTCCACCATGCAAAATATTTACAAATATCCTTACACATTTTGCCAGTGTAGTTAAGCCTGAGCACACACATGGCTCAGTCAAGTGGGCTGTTCATTGAGCCCATCACCAACCAACACCCTTGCTGCTGTGTGCCTGGCCAAGCCCAGAGCTCAGCGCAGGATGTGCCTCTCCTCACGCTGGTGGGGTCGGGGTGGCGGAGAGGAGTCTGTTGGGAAGAGCAGAGCACCTGAATCTGGCTGTTTAGAAGATCCGGATTTATGGCCAAGGTGTGAATTTACTTGGTTTTAGACCCATCCCAGGGCCGATATTAACTCTCAAGAATGCATGGCATCACATCAGCCAAAGGCAGAGATGCTGGAAAGATAGGGACAGCTATGTGCTACCTGGAAAGTTTAAGTCAGGTTCTAAAACTTACATAATTCAAAAAAATAAAAATTACATACTTCCAAGGCACATGCATGACGAATGCAAGAATAAACGTTTGGCCACTTGGAACTTTTGCAAAGAACCCTTTCCTCTGAGCCTACTTTTCGTCTACTCCTCGATTTGCCACTGAAAAGTCTACCTAACATGAACTGTGCTTAAAATAAGCACCAGATATAACCGATGCTCAAAGGGGAGATTCCCACCCAACAGATTCTCCACCCCTCCCCAAGCCCCCCCAGGCAGTGCTGCTACCCATTCCAAATACTTTGGTAAAAGAATAAAGACAATTTGACTTTCACATCTGCTGCTCCTGGACTGTGTTGCCTTGCTCCCGGTCACCATTCCTGCTGTCTCTGAGCACAGGGACGGCCATCTCCGCAGCACCTTTATGCCCTGCTGTCCTGTGCATGTGGCCTGGTCAGGCTGGCAGGACCAACCCTCGTCTGGGCCCTGCATCACAGAGCAGGTACTGGACGCGGGTATTTCTTTAGGCTCAAGACCTTTTACAGACTAACTTCAATCCTCTTTTGTCATCAGAAGCAACTTTTGAAAAGAAGAGTGCAAGGTCCAGCACTATCCCAGCCCTAATGACTTATCAAGGGTTTATCATTTGTCTGCCTCTGTATGAAGGACTTCAATCAGATGACCTCAGGTCATCCCCCCAGCAGCCCTATGAAGTAGGACTTCCTACATTCCCCATTTGACAGAGAAAGGAGGGGCGCGAGAGGTGACGTGATTTGCTGGGTCACCATCACCAAGGAGGGACGTAGGGGTCAGACTGGAGCTTTGAAAAGCGCCTGATTTTCTTTAAGTACCAGGGTCCTTCTTAATTCGCACACTGAATAAAATCAGATGAATATCGCACACATAAGGAGCCTAGTGTATGTTACTCCTTTGGATATTCGGCTGTTTACACACCAGGTATCTGTTCACCTCCTCACAACTCATACTCTTTGGAGAAGAAAGTTTTGGTAAATATGATGAGGTTTTCAAGCACTTGGATTGCTACATGTTATGAGCAGATGGAAAACTTTTTTTTTTTTATTGTTTAGGGCACATGTGTCAAACACAAGGCCCGCGGGCCAAATCCGTCCCGCCAGGCCTTGCAATGTGGCCCGCACCGCGCTGTCATCACTGCACTCCGCTGCGTTTCCATCACAATGACAGTTTATGACTGTTCAGTAAACCATTCGGCCCGCGATTTAGGCTGGATTTTAGATTTTGGCCCCTTCTCTGATTGAGTTCAACACCCCTAGTTTAGGGTATTACAAATAGTAATACATATGTCTCCTTTTTTTTTTTTGAATACATAACTTGGGGGGGGGGGGGGGGACGCATAGGCCTTTTTTTTCCTCTTCAATAATCAATGTACATCAGCACTTCCCCTATCCTTCCAGTTTGTAGTAGGAGTTTAAGCTAAAGCAAACAACCAAATAGTAGGTTTTCAGAAAATCTATGTTACTGCTCCCATTAAAAAAAAACCAACAAACAAAAAAACCCACATTTAAAAACTCTATAAATCAGGTGGTACCAATACCAAGGATGCGTATTTTGCCTCCGATCACAAAGCTGATCTCTTCTTAAAAAGTAAGCATGTTTAACTCATTTATGACTCACACAAAAATAGTATTAGTTTAAATAAACTTATTATTTTCACATACGTTATCTGTTCTAACCTTGGTGCAAAACCTCTAGTCCTTACTCTACAAAATGAGGGAACGGAGGTTAAGATTTGCCTGTTGCTCACAGTGCTGTCACAGCCGTTTCTAAAAATTCAAATCTGATCAGGTTCCTTATCAGCCACACCTCTCACCTTTCTCCTCACCAAGCACCAAAACAGCCTTACAATCCACCTGCACTTTCCACCAAGCTCTTTTCCTTTTTTTCTTCTTTTTGGTAAACAAATTTTGTATTCGTTTTAGTTAGGTTTTCAGCTGCATTTGTCTTTGGAGGCTTTTAAAATGAAAACCGAATTAGGTCCACTTCAGTGTCTACCTGCAACGATGTCTCTCTTGATTTTCCATTCTGCAGCTTTCTTTTGAATATGTTCTCTCATTGAGGATTTGTGTCCAGGCTCTTTCTTACCTCATACTTTACCTGGATTTCCTTTCCTACCATTTTTACCTGGAAAAGTACCCTCTTTAAGAGTGAGTTCAAGCGTCATTTCTTGCCTGAATCCTTTCTCAAGAAAAACACCCTAAAGGTAGAGCTGGTTCCTTCTTCCAGGCCAAATGCTATGTACAAGTGCTCTAGGCAATATGAAAGAGAACTCTGTACTACATTAGAAAATCTACAGGTTAACTGAGAAGCCTAAAAATTACTGAATTAAGAAGAAAGGTGAATGTAACCAATTATGAAACATTAAAATAACTGAAGAATGAGAGAAGTCAGACAGGAGAAATGAAGGAATTTATGTTGATACTAGTTGGTTATTTCATAGCCAACATATTGAATATGTGTATAATATACATATTACTCCATCAAAATGAATGGAAGTTGAGTGAAAAGATTCAGGTGGTAAAACAGATTTCATTCTATTGGCCAGCATATAGCCAAGTCAGGGAAAAGCTCCAGAAACCATGTTTAAATGGCGGTGGAACAGAATACCTCTTTTCTTTCTGTTCTACTCAACAGATTTAGAAGTACAGGCAAACTTTTCAAGCTTTTTAACAAGATGTTTCTTTGTACAATAGCAACATTTTCCTGGGAAGAATCCCTTATGGCATGGCGTTCTATCCCTTTTATAAATCATAAAGCAGATGTTAAAAAGTTTTTGCTCTACCTATTCATCCTTTTTTCCTTTCTTAGATATCCTTGTTCAAATAAGCACATATCACCCCATAGTCAAAAGTCCAGAGAAAAACAGGTTTTTGGAAAACCTACGTTACTTTGGCAGAGGCAGAGAACCTTGGTTTTCAAATTTTCAATGAATGAGCTTATGAATGAACTATCTCAGCCCAGCCCTGTCTGCCATGGCCAGGATTGTGTCCCAGTCTCCAGCCTTCCTCCAAGGACTTATTAGGCCTAAATCTGCAAAGCATGGATAACAACTTAGGCAGGAGTCCGATGCCAGTGAGGAGACTCCTACCAACAGCTCATCCAAAGAGGTCACTAAGTGGGCTTAGCCTCTTGGCCAGGATTGGAGAATTGTCCTTTGGGCAGCTTTCCAAACCTTGGTGCCAGGGTTTGCTGTGTTCTTTAATCATTGCTCATTGCCATGACCTGAAAAATCATGCCTGAAAGTTGAAGGGAATTTTAAGATTCTTAAAATCAATGGCTGTGCCCTAGAGCAAAGGAGCTAGGCCAGGCCCCGGGTAACCAAGCACAAAGTGTTGTGTAGCAGTTATGAGAATGCCTACTATGGGTTAGGAACATGACCTATTCTATCTCCAATCCCTATGTAAAGAAACTGAAAACCAGACTGCTTAAGTAATTTTCCAAGAACTGAGATTTGAACCCACTGTGCCAGGCTGTCTTCTATGTTCCAACAGTGACCTTCCTGTCAGCCAGAGCTTCTTGCATTGTATAATACTTCGTTCTTTGTCACAAGAAATTGGCCGAGTCACCAAGATTACCTCTTTCCTAACAGAATCAGGGAGCTAATGGAGGAATCCCAATTTGCACACTTTAGATAAAATTACTAAACCCTTAGTTGTCAATGAGCAAAGAGGCCAAAGTCAACTTGGTGACCGATACCACAGAAGTCCAAAGAGATACAGTTTGCAGAAGCCACCTAGATTTTAGAGATGCTGGACTTCACAGTTTTCTGATATAACTAGAGGCCCAGTACACAAATTCATGCACCGGTAGGGTCCCTCAGTCAGGCTTGTGGGATTGGGCCAAAACCAGCTCTCCGACATCCCCCAAGGGGTCCCAGATTGTGAGAGGGTGCAGGCCAGGCCAAAGGACCCCACTGGTGCACAATCAGGGCTGAGGAGGGACACAAGAGGTTGGCCAGCCAGGGATGGACCACAGGAGGGCTTCAGGGTATGTCTGGCCTGTCTCAATCAATCCCAATCTGTTGGACCTCAGCAGCAAGCTAACCTACTGATCAAAGTGTCTGCCCCCTGATGGTCTGTGCATGTCATAGGAACTAGTCTGCCCCCCCGGTGGTCAGTGCACATCATAGCGAGTGGTTGAGTGGCCTTAGTATATCATTAGCATATTGCACTTTGGTTCAAGGGACAACCGGACAACCGGACACTTAGCATATTGGGCTTTTATTACATAGGATTAGTGTCAAATAAGAGATGGGCTGTGGAGCCAAATTTTCTTATTTTCTTCAAATCCGTACTTTCCTCCACCCAGGTATCTTATGTAATGTAAAGTACTGTATATCCTTGCTGGCATTCTACTATTTATTTATTTATTTATTTATTTATGGAACTTGAACTTTTTTTTAAATATATATTTTATTGATATTTTACAGAGAGGAAGGTAGAGAGAGAGAGTGTTAGAAACATCGATGAGAGAAAGTCATCGATCAGCTGCCTCTTGCACGCCCCCTACTGGGGACATGCCCGCAACCAAGGTACATGCCCTTGACCGGAATCGAACCCAGGACCCTTCAGTCCGCAGGCCAACGCTCTATCCACTGAGCCAAACTAGTTTTGGCGACATTCTACTCTTTAGAACCTTCCTCTATTGCACACCCAGAATAAAATGCTGTAAGGACACACCACTCCTGGGGAGCTCCTCGCAATCAGCACTACCTCAGTGGTACATCTGGCCCCAGGATCAGGACTTCTGATCATGCATGGACAGAGCACAGCCCTGTCACAGGCCCCTCATCCAAAAAACTGTCTTCATTCTTATCTTACTGGGCTTCTCTACAGCACTTGAACCTGCTGAAACTGAAAACTCCTTTCACCACTCCAGTGTTTGTTTTGGAATCAGGCAGACCTAGAGCCGACCCCAGCTAGGAGCCCCAGCTAGGAGCCCGTGCCCTCCACTCTCTCCAGTGTGATGTTGGGCCAACTGGTCAACCTCTCAGGACCTCGGTTTCCTCATAGGTGAGGATGCACAAACGATACTTCGGAGACGCTATCCAAGATTTCTCCTTCTGATTCCTTGTGCCCTTTCCCTTGCTTGCATCATTCAGACAACGAAACAAACAGAATCCCATATTGATCTGTATTGAATGTGATCTTAAGCTTTTCATAATATTTATCTCTAGGGGGGGAAATGAGCAAACTAAACAAAAGCAGTTTTCCATAAACACTGTTCTTAGGGGAAAAGGAAAATACGCTGAAATCAAAGAAATAACTGCTCACCTGTGAGTTTTAATATTAGGCTTTT